GAGCAGGGAGACCAATGTGGGGCTCAATCCCAGGACCGTGGGATCATGACCTGAGCCAAAAGCAGATATTTAACAACTGAGCCAACCAGGCACCCTATTATTCATCATTTATGTCTATTTTTGGAATACACACATATAAACAGAATCATATTGTATGTGTTCTTTGTGTCTGGATTCTTTCAATGCTGTTTCGGGGGTACTGAATTATGTTGTTATATGAAGCAATAGCTTGGTCCTTCTCATTGCCATATAGCATTTCATTGTATGAATATTTCACTATTTATCCACTCCATTGTTGATAGCTATTTCTTTTTTTTTTTTCAAGGTTTTGTTTATTCCACATTTAATTATGTTTTAAATCTTCTATTTAAATTGGGTCTTGTACTACCATTGTTAGATTTCCTTCTAGATATTTTGGGGTTTTTAATGCCATCGTAAAGGATATTGTTTTCAAAATTTCATTTTGTGGGGCGCCTGGGTGGCTCACTGGGTTAAAGCCTCTGCCTTCGGCTCAGGTCATGATCCCAGGGTCCTGGGATCGAGCCCCGCATCGGCTCTCTGCTCAGCAGGAAGCCTGCTTCCCTTCCTCTCTCTGCCTGCCTCTCTGCCTACTTGTGATCTCTGTCAAATAAAATCTTAAAAAAAAAAAAAATTTTTTTTCATTTTGTAAATGTGTGTTACTGGCACGTAGAACTATGATTCATTTTTTTAAATACTGACTAGCTAAATTCATTTATTAACCTGGCTAAATTCATTTATTAACCTAATTGTTTCTGTATGAATTCATTGAGATTTTTTTTACACGTATAATTATGGTGCCTGTGAATAAATGTGCTTTTATTTGTTTCTTTGTAATTCTTATACTTAGGATGTCCAGAACATTATGGAATAGAAGTGAGAGTAATAAGCAGTTTTGTCTTATCTTTTATATCATAAGGAAAGCTTTCAACATTTTACCATTAAATATGATGTTGATTATAGTTTTCTTATAGCTGCTTCTTATTAAATTAAGAAAATCCTCTCCTAATCTGAGTTTGCAAAAAAAGCATTTTTTTTTCTTTTTTACATGGATGGATGTTGCATTTATCAAATGTTTTTTCTGCATTTATTGAAATTACATTTATGTTTCTCCTTTATCCTATTAATGTAGTAAATAACATTGATTGATATCTGAATATTAGTCCAAACTTGCATTTTTGGAATAAGCGCAACTTGGTCATGTCATTTGTTACTTGGTCATATCACTTAACTTTCAGTTCAGTAGGATAATTTGCATCAACATTTATGAAATTTTCCTTTCATGTAATGACTTTATTGGATACTAATACCAAGGTTACACTGGCCTCATAAAATAAAATGGGAAGTGTTCCCTCTTTTTCTATTCTGTGGAATAGTTTCTGTATGACTAATGATAATTCTTCTTCAAATCTTTAGTAAAATTCACTGAGAAGCCATCTGGGCCTGCAGGTTTTTTCCTCTGGTTGGTTCTTGGATTTGGGGATTTCTTTTTTTGGTGGTAAGGTTTTAAATATAGAATCGTTGTCTTTAATATTTGGTACTACTCAGATATTCTATTTCTTCCCATGCAGTTTTGACAAGTTGTATTTTTAAAAGAAATTATCTAAAATTTGAACTTTATTATCATAATGTTAATAAAATTTCTTCATATTTTTAATGTCAATAAGATTGACAGTGATATCCCCTTTCAGTCCTGATACTGGCTATTTTTCCCAATAATTCTAAGCAGGATTTGTCATTTTTGTTAATCTCTTCAAAGAATCAGTGTTTGGCTTTGGTATTCCCTTCCAGCATATGTTTGATTTCTATTTCATTGATTTCAACTTTTTTATTATTTCTTTTCTCCCACATTCTTATGGTTTTATTTGATCTTCTATTGTTTTTTGAACTTAAGTCTTCTCTCAACCAAACTGAAAGACTTGCTCTTCCCCAGGTATTCTTAATACTTGCCAGCCTCCTTGCCTTTGCTCCTACAGTTCCCGCTGTTTATAAACCACCCCTTTCCCCTTTATTAAAATCATGCCAACTATTCAAGGCCCTCCTCAAATGTTACCTCCTCTAGGAATCATTTCCTGCCCCTCTCTCATTTGATATCCTCTGAGTCCCTGCAGTCCAGTTTGCCATTCTTAGATCCTGACTTATGTACTTCCTTCCATTATCCCCTTAAAAACTGAGTGCTCAGTTTTTCTGAAAGATCTACCATGATGCTGTGCACAAAATAGCTACTCTGTCCACACAGGTGTTTGTGATTCAATTTCAAGAGTTAAATTCTCACAAACTAAACCTGTTCATAGCAGGAATCCTTGACTGGCAAGTCAAATATTCAAATAGATCATAAGAAGAGTTTGGGTAAAAAAAAGAAAGAAGTCTCATTTTTTTTTTTTAAAGTCTTACTTGCTTCCAAATAACAACTATATATCATCCAGAGCTAACATTTAACTTGACATTTTGCTTTTTCTGGCTATCACTTAAAACCCACATTTTTCCCCTTATTTAAGGAAAATAGTTAAATGGGACAATTTTTTTTTTTTTATGTTGAAAGATGAGAAGATGAAGAAATTTCTCAAGAAAAAAAAATAAGCTGAAGGATAATTTCTGGTATCGTAAATGGATAGCACAAATCAAAAACACAGGGCTTTGCAAGTTTGAATGAGTTATGCTCCAACTGTTATAAAGACTTAAGGGCAAGACTTAAAACTCAGGGGGGGAAATATAGGGCATACGTTGGCAGTAGAGTACATATTTGGGGCCCTACTTGGAGGGCTGGTAACACTTACATGTAAAAAGGATCACCCTTATCTTGTAGCACAAAGCACATACACCTTCCCCCAAATCCCCGAGATCTCTCCAGCTTTCAAGAGCTGCCTCAATCCCTTCTACGATACAAACTCCAGGGCATAATTTCCAAAGTAAGTTTTGAAAGAAAAACCAATTGACCCTATGGTCTGTCTTCAGTAAAAGCAGACTGAAGGAATAGAAAGTATAGGAATTCTGGAGGAAAAACCTGTATTCAGATCTCAGTTGCTAAGTGTCTAGCTGCCTATCCTCCCTAAAACACAACTTTCTCATCTGTGAAATGGAACTAATTAGGCCTGTTTGCAGGTTATTATATGTCAGGTGCGCTGTGTCTGGCTTCCCATGCATAGTTAGTGGTGTTCGGGTTGTGGGGTGTCACCAAAGGTGCAAGGTGCTATTTTTATTGTTATTGCTCATACTGTTTTTAACAGCCACAAACAGAGTGAGGCATAGTCTTAAGGCCTAAAAGCCATCATAATGGCTTGGCTAAAAAACTAGGCTTGAAACCAATTTTCTATGAACATCTCATCCTAAGAGAAGAAATCATTCTAAGTAGAGTGCGGTGTTTAGACTCAAATAGGTAAGAGTTTAAAAAATGGAAGAAATAAATATAGGGAGGCCTTATAGCCGAAGAAAACATCTCAGCCACAAAGTGGTATTCTTGACTAGATTCCAATACTTGAATTAAGTTCATACTGGGAATTGGGATGCATTCAGTGACCTAGGTTTGAACTTGAAATCCCTCCTTTCCTAGATGTGTGACCTTGGGAAAAGTTGCCACTGTAGCTTTCACCTTCTGCATGTTCCAGTGCATCCTTTCCATACGTAGTGGAACTGAACTGGCTGAACTTGACGGAACTATCAGCCTATCTTTTAAAAGAAACTTAACCCAACTGCAGCTCACCTCCACCCCAGGTGGAAGAACAGCAGTTATTTGGTGGAGCAGGAAAACAAGGCTTGGTCTTTAGTTTTAATAACAAAAGATCAGCCTCACTACTGGAGTTTAGCACCTGAATGCAAAGTCCTGTTCTTTGGTCCACAGCACAACGAGAAGTCAGCAACTTAGTTAATTTAAGCTCGATGTTGAATTGCTCAATGCTCATTTCCCATAGAAAAGCCGGGTGGGAACAAATGTTACTCAAAAAGCACCACTCAGGACACACAAGTGCCTGGCTGGTCATGTGACCAGAAAGCGAAACACCCACAATCCCCACGTTACTTACCACAGAAACACTGTCACCTAGTGACATTACACTCCTAGCTTCTTAATTCACTTTAGATAACAAGTTCACCAGATCAAATACATTTTCTGCAATTTTTACTAAATCCCTTATGGCACTCACAAGCATAAAGTTTGTTTTTCTTCATGAATGAGTGCCATTTAATTTATTAAGCAAATGAGAACTAGGAAACTTTGTGTATTTTCTTTTTAGCCTGGGCTGTTTAAGTTTAGAGTGAAGTTTACACCCCATCCCAGTAATTATCATTATTCTGGGGTTGGTTTCTTTTTTGCATTTTCTTAAAACACAAATTTCTTCCTATCCCTTCTTTTTGTGATTATTAGAGCTGTTAAAGCCATCTCACTCAGATGGGCAGACAGTGGCTGACTGAAAATAGAGTTTACATGAAGGAAGTCAAACTGTAGAATGGAATGAGAGAAAATGGGATCATTAACAACTTTTGGGCCCCTGGATCAAGCTGTGCCTGAAGAAATATCCTGTTTTTCTCTAGTTGAGGGAGCCAATAAATTTCCTTTTGGTTTTAGCCAATTTGAATTAGATTTTCATTCACCTGGAAGATTTAACTAGCAAAGAAAACAATTTTAAGATTATCTGACTAGTACCATTGTTACTGTAATTCATTTTCTTAAAAAGAAACTAGGTACAGCTTTATGAATGAACCTGAGAAAGTGAAATTTTGGACATCATCTTTATGTCAAATCAAATTTATAATAAAAGTAGGTTAAAACATTCTTTCAAAGGAATTAACATTAAAGAAGAAAAGAGGGAAAAAGCTTTTTAACTACCATTTTTGTTGACAGTTCTCCATAAAAGCAGAAAAGAGGAGCTAGTAAAGAATCTTGGGACACAAAAGTAAGAGAAGGAAGAACACTGCACCATCTACAAGAAAACTAATTTCTGTGAGAAATACACACAATGTTCTAGTGCAAACCTGGAACATATCTGCCAGAGCAAATCGGGATCAAAATTAAAACTTGGAGCTTCCTGCAAGAAGATAAATCATAAATAACTTCATTCACTTTGCTTCCTTTCATTGTCATTCAGATGACCTTAAGCCCCCTGCTCAACTGGCTGTGGTAGATATGATGGCTGCAAGAGAATTACGCCCGCGTTGATGCTGGCAGATGGCCCTCCCCAATGCTTGCCCACAGACATATTTTCACAATGTACAAGCCCAGAGGTGCCCATAGAGATCTACGGAAACTACCAAACCAAGTTTCTAAAGCTGCTTGAATTAAGGCAAGTTTTCACAGATTTTCACAATCAACAACTTTCTCAAGCTGATGCAAAATGTATGTGTGGAAAAGATGAGGGATCAGAAGTTGACCCTCAGTTTCTCTCAGAAGCAAGGGACTAGTAGAGGTAATTTGTAAGCCCTTAATTCATGTCATCTCCCTGAAACTACAGGTCAAATTTTCTCTAGGAAAGTTCCTTTTAACTTTAGATTTTGCCAAGGCACCATATGATACCGATGTTTATCCAGAGGTATTTAAGTTAAAACACAACAATGTCTTAAGTTCCACCCCCCAGATTTAAGGGTCAATTGTATTTGAGAGTCAACCCTAAAGCTTGTAAAATATGGGTTTCTAAAATTCCCTCCAAATTCGCAGGAGTGTAATATACAAAACTGGATAAGATCACAGCCTCTGTCACAAGCTACAGACATAGTTGAAAAGATGAGCCTCTAACCATCTGCCCCCATAACTCAATTTTTACATAGTGAGTATAGATGCTAATGGGACCCAGACTTCTCCACTGACAAACAGAAGGCTGTGGTTTGTAAATTAATACACATCCAAAAACAACAGAAAAACTCCAGGTTCAATTCCCTGACAAGTATATTGATTATCATTTTTCCTAAAAACATGTTCTATAAACCAGCATCTTTGGCATCCACAAAAGAAAAACTCCAGGCTCAATTTACTGATAATATATGAATGTGAAATTTGCCCTAAAAGTCATGTTTTATGCCTTCCCATACAGAGAGCCTAAATGAGTATATTATTTTTTGTTTGTTTTCTAACAAAACATATGATAGTAAGCAGATTTTTTTTTCCTTCTAAAAGTCACCAAAAGGTATTAATTGTATTTGAATAGAGACCTTTACAGGAAAAATGTCCACTGCTCTGGAAGAGAGTCACTCCTGGTTTCTTAAAAGATTGCTGGAATTCACAATTACTTTTTTTTTTTTTTAAAGAAAGGATAGTTTGGAAATTGATTTTATGTACATCCTCTTCTCCATTAGTAAGTGCCAGAGACTGGGGTGGTAGGCATGGAAGTGGGTGGAAGAAAGACTGACTCTGCAAAAAGGTAAAATAAAATCTTTAAGATAAAATATTTTGTCTTTTTTCTTTTCTTAAGAAAAAAAGAAAGCGAAAGAAAGGAAGGAAAAAAAGAAAGAAGAAAGAAAGGAAGGAAGGAAGGAAGGAAGAGTGAAAGAAAGAAAGAAAGAAAGAAAAAGGAGAAAAGAAAAGAAAAAAGAAGAGAGCCCCAACCAAGTTTCAAGTTTGGTTACGCTATAAAGTAAGGAAGAAATCTGTTATGAAACACTCCCCCACAAATGTAGAATGGTAAGTTTCTTTCAAAACAAGTTCAAATTACATAAATTCAAAATGAATTGATGAGGCAAGATTAGCAAGGATTATTCAATCTTATTGGCATTTGGTTCCTTTGACAATATTTTTCAAACCAATTTGCTGCAAATGCATTATGAGTGCCTCAACTCATGTAACCTCATTTGGGGGACACAGTTTTAAAAGCAAATGCTCTACATTATTTCTACAAAAATTCACTAGAATGAAGACACTGTCATGACCAAAAAAAAAAAAAAAAAATCCCAAATCAAAATTGTACATGCCAAATATTCAATAGCTGGTGTTACTTTCTTTATCCCCAGGACTTGGGAATTTTTTGGCAGACAGTTCAAAATCATGTGCTATAAGAAAGACAGAAAAATCTTTATCCTATCCTATCAGCAAGCTACAGAATTCTCTTGTAGGCTAATGGTGATCAGAAAATTCTTAAGTGTTAAACTCTGGAATACCAGATTGCAAACATCATTGTTATGAATTGTTTTTCTTCATGAAACAATTTAAATCAAGAATTATTTACTCTTACAATAAACACTATTTACTTCCTTCTGGCAAGCACTGAAAGCAAAAAAAAAACCTTTATTTACATTTCTAGATACTGACAAAGCAACTGGGTTTCATTTAGATTTATTTCTTAATCATACATCATGGCTTAGCCATCCCCATTTATTTCATTATTCTTTAAGTCCTCTAAATTTATCCAGGAGGATCTCTGATTCTTTTAAATAGCATGTTCGATGCTTCCACAGCTAACTAAGATAACATATGAGTATTTAATAAGTTATTATTACTTCCAGACTTGGTTAGGAGAAAATAGTGGAGACCTAGGAAAGTATTATTCTTTGAAAAGTACATTTTGCTGATAGCATAATTTTAATTATTTAACAAGTTCGCTGCATATAAGGCAACTTCTCTTTGCCAAGTCCTAGTTTTTTAAAAGTGTCTTTTCATTGTAATGTGAATGAAAAGGAGAAAAGAATTATTCGAGCTTTAGAAATATCCTTTTAAAGCACAAACAAAACCTCCCCTAGGGTTGAAAGCATTGGCCATGCTCTGGAAATGAACCCAGCTCTTTTCAGCCAAGGGATACTTGAGCCCTTTATTCTTTTGCCCAGAACAGACATCCTAATTAAAGGGCCAATAAATTAAATGTACCCAAGAAGGCAAAAAGATCCAGAAGAAAAGTACCCACCAGGGTGCCTAGAGAAAAACACAAGGTTCATTTCAAGTGTTTATGTTAGGCAACATCAAGTTAGAACAAACTCCGGAGGCACAGCTGTTTTTGAAAAATGTGAACAGCTCCTACCTTCATTTCAATGACAGTCTGGAGAGCCTTCGTCTTGGCTGGCTCCGGCTGAAGTTGGCTCCTTCGGTGCAATTCCTGGGGAGGAACACGATAGAAATAAGCCTGACGGTTCATCCTTCCGTCACACCATGACCTTTACACAGGTACCACACAGCCCACTAGGTGCAGGCTCGCTGTGCACAGACATAAACAAGCCACAGGTGACTCTTCCCCCACCCTCTTTAGCATCCCTCCTGCCTGGAGCCTGCGTTCCGGTGAAAAGCTCCTGGCACATGCGCTATTTCTGAAACTTCCATCAATAATTAATGTCAACTGTGACAAAGCCAGCAAGTAATCATAGTCCAAATACTGTTCAACACTGGGGCTGTTGCCCAGCCATCAAATCATAATTTACTAAATTACATTACTCTGTGTTCCCAATACAAACACAGCATGGAAACGGAGGAAAGAAAATGACTAACGTGGTTGCAAATCCACTGCACGCATGGCATTTTGCTACTGAGGTAGGTTTGAAATGAGCAATTTAAGACCTTTTCAGTACCACTGTGTCACTTTTGGAGTGAATAGATGTGATGAAACCCTGTGAATATCTTGCTTCCTAATTTACAGTTTCTGTCCTTATTCAAAATCACATCTGTGTGTGATATGTTTATGCACTCATGATACCAAGAAATTAAAATTGGCATTAATATCAACAGTGTTAGAAAGGAGACAAAAATGGTTAAAGCCAGATGTAGACCCAAGAACCTCTGGAATATGACAAATACAACTTTAAGTAAAACACAAACAACATAATTACAATTTTAAGCTGAAAGGCTCACTTTTTGCATGCCTCGTCTCTAAAGAACAGTTCTGTTAAGACTTTGAAAGTTTCCCTGGCTGAACAGAAAAAGATAAGATTTGTTCATTTATGCTTTGATTTTCTTAATAATTAGCAACAGTTTTTGTGAAAGTAGCCAATGAGAGGAGTAAACAGAAGTACTCACATATGTCCATGCTGCTGAAACAAATCACCTACGGAATAATTCTATAAGACTTATTTGCTTGCAGAAAAATCATTTAAATTCAACATGAGGTAGTTCTAGCCCTTCACATTCCATTGGGCCACAAACATTAAAAACAAAAAACAAACAAGCAAAAAACCACTTTGGGCTTTACAGAAGAGAACCAACATGACTTCTAGCTCTTTTCAAGTGGAGATATTAAAATTAACTCTCATCCCACCACTATCATCTGCTACCATCACCATTTCATAAAGACAGAACATATCAATGCAAATATTGCCAGAAAAACACAGTCCCACAATAAAAGATAATTCTTCTCAGGATCATAAACAAATATTCTTTTGCCCATATTCTATTAACATTGCTCTTACTTGCCAGCAGCCCAAGATTTGGTCATGGGAGGCTGTGTACATGTCTAGGGCCCAGCACTGAAGAATCACTCCTACAGATCTGGAATATAGCATATTTTCTTCCCAAAGTCATCACTGGCACAAACCAGCAAACCTGTGCTAAACCACTTCCCAACCTCCAATTTGAGAAGAATTTGAATTAGTACTTCCAAATTATTCAAAGTAGTCTCACATCACTTAAAACTTTTTTTTCCCTAATATATCCTTGGAAGAGATGGAGTCAAGTATTTCTGAATCCATTTGATGAACAGAGTGACAAAAAGAGATCTTCCGTCCTTTTAGAGGCCCTAGACTACAATAAAATACTCCAACAACACTGGTCATTTTTTAGGCTCCACAGAAATGGCAGAGATTTTCTAAAGGAAGGACCTTAAAAGCAGCTTCCCTTTCTTGACTATCTACAATATCCCTGGCACTACATGTCTCTGTCAAGCCTCAACACTACCCTATGAAGAATATGACCTGTGTGGTGACCAGTGGGCTACTGGTAAACATTTAACAACCAAAACCCACCATGGCCAATTTCAAGCTACCTAAGTGGTATCACTGAATGCAGAGTTGGGAAGAGAGGCACAATATCACCCCATGGTATAGTATTTCTATCATCTGGGAAAAATAAATATAATAACCTCAAGAACATTAATAGTAGTAAAATGTAACCCAAAAATTAGTAAATTATGAGGGGTTTTTTTTAAAGATTTTATTTATTTATTTGACAGAGATCACAAGTAGGCAGAGAGGCAGGCAGAGAGAGAGGGGGAAGCAGGCTCCCCGCTGAGCAGAGAGCCCAATGTGGGGCTCGATCGCAGGACCCTGGGATCATGACCTGAGCCGAAGGCAGAGGCTTTAACCCATTGAGCCACACAGGTGCCCCAAATTATGAGTTTTAATACAATGTCTTTAATCATGAGTTTGTATATTTAATTTGTAACATTAGCTGTTAGAACAAGTTTCCAATTTGGACTTTCATGGACCAGTACAATCCAGTTCCAACACACCATTGGGTCAATCACAACAGGACTTCAACCTCCAAAGAAAGCTATGTAGCCTTCAATGTACTTCCAAGATTGTTGGAGTTCACTGGACAAATAAAATTTCATAGATTAAAAAATGGAAAGTAAGTCACTTGTCAGAGTTGCTCCATGGTAGGTGGTAGAAGAAATACATTTCATGTCACCAATTCTGATACCATGAGGCATCAAAAGCATCTTAATGAAAAAAGCTGAGAATTGAATTAATGGTAATTTCATACCATAGCCAAACCCAGTTCCAGAATAAAAATCATAAGATAATTTGAGGAGAGAGGTTAAGCTTCCATAAGACAAATACAAATAATTAAGAAGCAACTAAGTAACACAAATAGAAAATAAAAACCATAGGGTAAAGACATGTGCTATTATAATTTCTGCCAAGCATAAAAACATTTTGAAGGGCAAACATGCAATAGCAAAGCTAAACTTGTAGCAATAGTTTTACAAAAAAGGAAAGAGAGTTTTCTTTGCCATAATTATGCAAGTTCCATTATAGTGTAAACCAGCCAAAAATCCAGATTGGGCCCTTAGACTCCTTAAAAAGTAAAATAAAAATCTCCAATTACCTGAAAACTGCAATTTTCCTGCCTTCACTACACTATATTTCAATCAATCCTGACTTCACAGTTACTGAGGAATACCTTAATTCCTAAGGTGTCTGGTAAGTGAAGATCGTAATCCACATATAGATATCATGGACAGTCTGAAAGTTCTACCTCTTATCTATTTCTGAGATTTAGGATCCTTAAAATGCTCAATCTGATTGTGGCAGACAGGAGAAGTATCCTGACCAAGATCTGTGCTCCTCTTCTTTAATGTAGAGTGTTGTTAGGAAGCACCACCACTACTGCCGTTGTATCAAGATGGTGCCAATGTGACTTATTTCTGGCCACTGGGATATGGTCAGAAATGGAGAACTCAACTTCCATAAAAATCTCTTATTCTGTCCTCAGTTCTTCCTTGTTTCCTGTCTGCTGGCTAAAAGTAAAGAACTCTAAGACCCAAGAAGATGGTAGAACTCCAAGATAAAAGGAGCCCAGGTTCCTGAAATGTCATATCATAAAAAAGGCCAGTGAACACCCACATGGGCTGGTCTAAAACTGCCAGCAACTCCAGGTGACCAATACGGAAATATATCAGGAACCCAGAATTTTAAGCATGAAATCTCAAGTGGTTTACTGGGATGACATTTCTAGGAAGTTAATGAGTACCTAGAGTCTAGTGAGTTAATGTGGATGGACACTACCTTCCAAGATGAGCCTGGCAGAGTAATGTTTGCACACACCATCTCTTCATCTCTTCAGCAGGAAACCACACATACACACACACACACACACACATACACCAAAAAACCTCAAAACTTAACTTTCTATTCAAAGGTAATTCACTATATATGACCTTTTCCCTTTACTATTCTGGTAATCTACGCTATGGAACAAAGCACCCCAAATTTAGTGGTGTCAGACCACCACCATTTGATTATGTTCATGAATTCTAGATCAGGAATTTATAAAGGATAGACTGGGCAAGGCTTGTTTCTAAAGCATGTCGGGGACTAGAACAGCTCGGCCTGGGGATCCACTTCCAAGAAGGCTTCTTCACTCAGGTACCTGGTGTATTGGCCAGAAGAAGACTTGAAAGCTGGGTTTCACTAGAATATCACCTATATATGGTGACACCTGTATATGGCCTCTCCATGTGGCTTCGGTTTCTTCACAGCATGGCAGCCTCAGGATGTCAACCTCTCACATTTAGGTGTAAAGACTCCAAGAGCAAGCACTCCAGCAAATAACCCAAAGACTGCATAGCCTTTTATTACCTAACCTCAGAAGTCCCATAGCATAACCTCTGCCATGCTTTGTTGGTTGAAGAAGTTACAAGCCTGCTCAGATTCCAGGGAAGAGTGCCAAAGAATCTGAAGCCATATTTTTAAATTACCACTTTTGAGGAACAAAACCGGTTGAAGAAACTGACAGGAAAGTAACACTAGAATCTCAAACATCAACTCACATCAGTCTTAAGATATGGCAGATTCAAATATTCAAATAATAATTTGATGCAGGGCATATAGGAAATGCAGCAGTGCACCATGTAGACAAATACTCCAGCCCTTATGGGTTTTTAATTTTAAATTCCAGTAAGAAAGACACACAGTAATTTTAAAAGGAGACCAAACTAGTTTGTTTGTTAAGTGTTTTAAAGGAAAATAAGTCAGAAAAGTGGACCAGGACACATTGTGTGAGGGGATCAATTGCAACTTTAAAAAGAGTGATCAGAGAAAGTTTCGTGCAAAGGTAACATTTGAACAAAAATCTGCAGGAAATGGAGGAACCACTTGTACAGACATTCTAAGCAGAGGGAATAGCAAATGTTTAACAACCAGGTTAGCACTGGATAAGGGATGGGGAAAATAGCAGGAGAGAGAAGTATAAGGGTGTAGGCTGACACACTGGGCCCAAATTTGGAGTCATTGTCTGGACAATGGTTTTACTCTGAGGAAAATGGGAAGCCACTGGAAGGTTCTGAGCAAAGAGAAACCATGATATAACACACATCCTTAAAAGTTTGCTCTGGCTGCTGGACTGCAGTATGATTTGGGTTGAGGAAGGAGGTAATGGCAGAACTACAGG